GCTTGGATGTCTAAAGCACCTCTAATATAAATATGTTGTATACATTTACAATACAAATTGTGTAATGAGTCGATTTGTTTTTAACATAATTGAAGACACCGCGGGTGATACAGATCTTTCCAACGCTGGACAACCTAAACCTGGAAAGGATGGCAGTGATGAAAAAAATAATCAAGGTATGTCCGTCTTTATTTTGGTTGGTTATTTGAATTTTTTCAATTTTGAATGTTTTTAACGTTCATTGAAGACAAAAGCAATCAAGGAACTTCTCCTAGTCCTGACCAAATAATCTTGAATCTTCAAAGTCTTTCGTGGCTGTTTTCGATGGTATTTCTTCTTTATATTTTTTCTTTATATTTTATAATTTGCTTTCCACGGCAGGCGGCCGGAGGCGGCATACTGTTTTGGTCGTGTTTCCACATTTCCACAGCATGACATCATAACGCTAATATGAGTTTTTTATGTCAAATTTATTACCTTACTCTGTTTAAAATTACCGCGTCAAAACCCCATATTTGTCACCGATTTCACCGTTAGCTGTAGCCTATCTGTAATCATGAATGTTACTGCATGCAAATAATCTTGATTTGAAAAAAGAAACAATTTATTTTAACTGAAATTTTTGACGCCAGAGCAACCAATACTTTTGTTTTTATTTTTATTTAACCATTGTGTAATATCATGAGCGAAAAAAACAATACACACACGACGATGAACCAACCACTTTTTCATAAAAAACATGGATAATAGGGAGCTTAAGGAGGCTCCCTACAGTTGCGTGCGGGATCTTCACGTAACTATCCCACGCAACCGCATGATCAAAACAAAACAAAATTTTCTTTTAAAAAAAAAAGCTATTTCTGAAAGGTTTCTAATGGGAAAAAGCGTTGAATAATACTTCGTTTTGAGTGCCAAATTACTTGCGAGTCTATACAGCAATTCTACATATGATACGAATACCACTAGACCAAAAAAAGCTACGAAACAATATGTTTTAATGTTTTAATACATTGTCAAGCATAGACTTGTTAAACAAGAATAACTGTAGGGAGCCACCTTAAGCAAGCGACGTTTTTGTCAACACGGACGTCAGATTGCCGAGGGGGACTGGATTAAAGACTGTGTTTGTGTCAGTTTGTAGTAATCTTTTTTAATATTTTTCATAGTTATGTACGGTATATGCATGTCTTCCTTGTAAAATAGTTTATTTAGTTCAGGACCTTTCTGAAAATCACCTTGTGAGAAAGCTTCCTGAAATTAAATATTAATTAAAAAAAAAAAAATCTTCAACCATAGCCTATCTGTGAAACTCATTAGAATAACAATATTTAACAGTTATTCTACGAACTCGAGTCGAATATGAGCTGATAGCCGATGAGGCGCGTATATACACAAGGTCTGAATTCACAGACTTTTTCGGATATTTTCGGATGAATTCACGGATATTTTCGGATATTTTCAATATTTTTCTATTTTGTTTATGTTTTTATTTTCGCTCTTTCGGCCGATTGTTTTTTCCAAAATATATATTTTTAACCATTTTAAATTTTAGAAATTCATTTCCTAACCTGTAAACAATTTGTGGGAGTTTTTTTCATTGTGTTTTTAATCCTGAAAGGGCTATAAAAAGCGAACAACTTGCCGTTTTCTCGTTCGCAAAACATCAGAAATTCAATTTTGGCCGCCATTTTGTTTTTCTGTACTAGCAGGATATGAGCTAATATCCTGCTAGTACAGAACCAATCAGATTGCAGAATACCTCATATCCAGACCTTGTGTATATAATAAAACTCATTATCTTTGTTAGTCAACGTTTATTCATAAATCTAGTCCTTTCACCGTCACGTGTGTATTGTATTTTTACCAAATCCGTCAATAGCAATTTGCAGTTTCCATACTGTTCGAGTCACGGATAGGTGACTTTCCTTAAAACATTGTTATTGGTTAGTTGGGCAAAAATAAAATACAATACACACGTGATGGTGAAGGACCAGATTGAATTGATGAATAAACGTTGACCAACATAGATAATGAGTTATATTGTTATTCTAATGAGTTTCACAGCCATCTTCCCTTCGATAGGCTTAAGCTCACTTATGAGGTCTATTATGTTTGCATCGAGTTTCTTATAACCTTATTCTATCGACTATGATGAAATAATTTCCACTGTAATTTTCGTATTTCTAGGGCCAAAACCTTTGAGCAGAACGCCAGACTCAAGTCATTTTGCTGTCGTATTTTTGGTCATGATCGCCCTGCTATTTGGACTGTACGCCTTGTACCATAACAGACAAAAGGTAGGCGAATGGACTGATTCTATAGGGTTTCCACGGGCTTGGGAAATCCTGGAAAGCCCTTGAATTTGAAAAAAATAAATGCAGCTCTGCATGGAAAGTACTTTATAAATTGGTGCAGGTCTTTGAATTTCTTTCCAATTGTGCTGATAATACTTGAACGTCATTTAGACTATTGATTTTCTTATTACATGCTGGGGCTGGTTGTTTAAAGGTGGATTAGCGCTAACCCTCGGTTAAAATTTAACCAGCTGTTTTAGTTTGTATTTCTACACGTATGTTTATTTCGAAACTTCAGAGAAGAGAACTATCGATCCAGACAAGATCTCTGAAGAAATATTTCCAAATTTATATAGACAAGCTGTTCTGCTATTCTATACCTCTGTAAACTAGAACAATTATATGGTATAGTAACTGGGCATGTGAGTTGTGAATTGGATATAAACAAACGTGGGTAAATAACGTAAATTTGAGTATTCTGGATCACTGGGGGTACATTACCTTATTCATTGTAAGTTTTTTATGTTAAAATGTTTTGCAGTGTAACATGCTGGCACATAATACATCATTTAGATGATAATTTTTATTGTTTTTCTACGTAGATTATAGCAGTTGTCGTCGAAGGTCGATCTATAAATGGTCGTGGAGGTCGTGAACGATATAGGAAACTGGACAGTGAATCCGGACTGGAACCTGAAGCGAGAATAAAGAACAGTAATGAAGTATATGTATACTGAGTTGCCGTGACCCCCTCCCCCCGGATATAACTAAGATCTTTGAAAATACACCACACTACGCTGTGTATAAGTCTCGCCATTTGACCTTTAACTGAATTGAGTATTTCTTATGTTGAGTATTTCTTATGTTGAAGACAAAAACCAAGGCTGTTTTACACTATTAAAGTTTTTGTGATCACAGTAGAAATTTTGCATAGCTAATTTTTAAGTCTTGAAGGATTTGCAAGAAATGTTTGAAGAAACTGATTCATTGTTTGCTACCTGCCAGTAAGTTATCTAGCAGAGATTCCTTACAGATTTCTCAAAACCATTGTGATCACATAAACGTTTATAGTGTAAAGCAGCCTTAAAACAGGGCTTTCAAGATAGTTCAAAATTTAAACTCAGAGTTCGTTTGTAGTTTAGGGTTAATGTTATGGTTGGGACTGAGTTTAGGGTAAGGATTTTTCAGATCAATGTAACACGGTTCCCGTCACCACCTGCCCACATACACACCGCCATTTTTGGGTGGCTTTTCAGCCGAAGTCTGCAAGATAAGTCAACATAACAGCGACGTTTTATAATTTTTTGGACAAATGATGGTAAATTTGCTTTGTAGATAAATGGTTAGTTTATTTTGAAAAATTGATTATCACGTTGTTTTAATTGTCTGCATTGCAGTTAACGAGAATTAGATGCCACCGTACCCAAAAATGGCGGATATTCGTCATCGTGAGAAAGGCTAATTTAGTCTTTCTCACGCCGCCATTTTTGGGGCACTGTAATTTTTCGTAAACGATTAAAACAATGTGAAAAGCAATATTTCAGAACAAACTAACTATTTACAGAGTAAAATCACCATCGTACACCCATAAAATTATAAAATGTCGCCGTTACGTCGTGTTACGCTTGCAGGATTGGCAAAAAAGTACCCCCAAAAAAGCGGCGTGAGAAAGGCTAATTAAATTCAACGATAGTGGGACGTATGAAACAGGCCTAAATTTATAACAAAATTATTATTTAAAGTTACTTTGAAATGTATTAATATTATCCAGTACGAGTTTAGTTTTACAATAGATTTGATATATCATATAATTTATAGATGATCAACAGTAAATTTGTATAAATAGATAATAGAAATTTTGCTTTTTTCTGATTGTAATTTGTTTCCTTCTGCATTTGACTATTAATTCTTACCCACACGTTTAAATTGAGCGTGTGTCCCCCCCCCGGATTCAACATTCCTTTTCTGTAACACCCCCACCCCCCTACCTCCAGTATTCAATGCTCATATTATGTGAAAGTGATAATGATCTTGCACATTGAACATAATAATATTGATTATTGCCATTCATTCACGAAGATCAGAATGTTCCATTGGCATTGTATTTATTTTCTAAAAAAATTCAGGATAGCACAGATATAAACTTATTTATTAGTTTTATGACCTTTTAATAATGGTCCCGGCCGGTTGTATGAAAAGGTAGTTAAAGTTAATAATACAGTAGTTGATGAAAACATCGCCTGTACATTGTTTTGACACAATAGTGACGTCTATATGCTTTTGCATAATACCTAAAATTTTCGATACATTTTGGACAAATCCTAAGAGAAAGAATAGCACGACCGAGTTTCAGTGTCTGTTATGGTGGTAGCTGTAACAACGAATTTAACGGCCAACACATTGAAACAGTATTTCAGATCATGACAAGCCTCGTATTTGAGCATTTGGCTCGGTTTCAAAATTCAATACCAAAAATGTTAAAATCTTTACCAAATAAAAATATATCAAATATTACACTATTTTTGGTGTAAAATCCATTTCGAGAGTGCTAATCTGCTAGTTAAATCTTGGTAAAGAACCAACGTCACTTTTTACCCAAAATTTCACTAAATGTTTCATAGAATTTCACAGATTTCTTTAGAACATTGGAATTCAAAAATTTTCAGGAATGCGTGTTGGCATTTTGAGATTTAGCCCGCGGGTGGCGGCAACGGGCAGGCCTCAAGGAGGAGACGCGGTCGCTAAGTCCCGGCTTTTTATCCGGGAGCTTCAAGCAAAAGTGTAATGGCCGCCGATCGATTTTGAAATTTGAGGCCAATAAGGAAAGAATATATTGTAGTTTTTCTAGCAAGATGTGTGCTTTTTCTTGCCGATTGTGATGAAATATAAAAGATTTGTTAGTGTATATTAGCTGTAGAATGTCAAAAGGACAAGAAGAGACAAATACGACGAAAAATGGCCCCGTAATTCAAGGCCAAGTTCACGCTATCGACCATTCTCCTTGTGTATCGGACTCGTCGGATGGCGATGAAGAATTAGACGAAGAATCGGCGGTAAATATTATTTTTTGACCATTTAAATATTTTTCCTAAAATTCTCGGCATATTTTTATCAATTTCTGTTAATTTTAGCAAATATTTGGGCAGTATTTTCGACTAGAAAATAAAATCTTTCAATTATTATTTTATCACACTGTTGTTTGTATGAGCGAAATTGTTGATCGTATTCAACTGGTCTGATTAGGATCGCGTTTCGATGACCGGTCATTGATTTCAAAATATAAGAAGCGGCCTTATAATGGCTTCTCTTGTCAAATAATTTTGTACTAGTAGACTTTTTAAGTAAAATCTGCTTGGGCAAACGATTTATAAATGCAAAGATATGTAAATTTCTATAGTATTTATTATAACGATTAAAGTACAACATACAAATCGTATATTTTAAAATATTGTTCAATCTTTTGTATTTATTTGGGTTTATTTGCAACCATGCAATTTTACAGATAATTTTGATGAAATTATAATAAAAATATATAATATGAGATGTGTGATACAAAAATCCACAGTCTATGATTTGATGTTATTTTGAAGTTTGCAATCATAAATCAAATTTGCCCACCAAATTTCATTGCCCACCAGTTCATCAAGTTTTTTTTCTGACAACTTTAACAAACACACTGAACAATTCAAATATATATATATTTTATATATATATATATATATATATATATATATATATATATATATATATATATATATATATATATATATATATATATATATATATATATATATGATCAGATTCAGATTGGATTTGCACACCTCTAATATATACTCTGCGAGTGTTATATAATGTTGTGTTATTCTTCACTCAATAATATGATAAGGAGAAAATGTTCTTGAGTGAGAATTTCATGATTTCCAGACCGAGCGAATTTCCTAATTTTCAATCTGTCCTGACCTTGTAGCTCACTTGGTAGAGCATCGATCTAGTAATTTGAAGGTTGTTAACCCTTTAAGTGGCAACGTACCCAGATGTGCCCTACTTTATTATTTTACTTTGTCTAATGCCAGACAATTTTAATTGTGCTGCCACTCAATGGGTTAATAACCTAAAATGACTTACTTACAGCTTGAGTACATATTACGAGGCAAGCAAGATTTCCTGACGTCAAAGATCAAGTTACCCAGTGGCTCCTCGGGCAATGCTAATGATGTCCGTACAAAGATTGATCCAGATACACAGGCAAGACTCGAAGCTTTACTGGAAGCTGCTGGTAAGCTTTTTACCATCTTCTCTGATGCCAGATTATTTTGCTCTGTCTAAAGGCAGATGGCTTTACTCGTGAAGGAGAGAGTGCCACCACTCAATGGGTTAATCAGACCATGCATCCTGTTAACCCTTTAAGTGGCAAAGCAAAGCGCCTTAATGCCCATCAATTCATTATAATAGTACTCTGTGTAACACCAGACGATTTTACTCGTCAAGGGGAGAGTGCTACCATTCAATTGGTTAAAGGATAAACCTGTTTACTATTGCTTTAGGAGTGGCAAAGTTAGCTGATGGTAAAGCTTTTGCTGACCCAGACGTTCTGAGAAGATTGACATCATCAGTGAGCAGTGCATTAGACGAAGCAGCCGCTGCGTTGACAAGAATGAGAACTCAGAACAATGGAGTCCCATCTTCACCTAATCACACGGCAGATGCTGGTAAGATCCATGATCTGGTAGCTAGGTTCGTCAGAAAGCAACCCTTCTATCCACATTTGATATGTATGAAGGGGAGAAGGGTCAAAGGTTTTTAACATTGTCTCTCCAGTAGGGGTGCACCGGATTTCAAATCCGGCCGGAATTCCGGCCGGATTTAACAAATTTTCCGGCATCCGGTATCCGGCCGGATTTGGAGAAAACCCGGCCGGATTTAAATTTCTGTTTTCACCTTAAAAAATTCGCCAAGAATGGGATAAACCATCAATTTGGCAGCTTTTAAGTTTAAAAAACACTTATATTATTATAAAATATTAAGTTATTAACAAAAAAATACTTAAAAAAGGTTTAAACACAATCAAAATTCTAAACTGACACTAACTAAAAATAGTAAAAAACATAAACCGCCATTTTGAATACTGATTTATCCACAATTTTCCCCATTACTGGTTTATTTTAAATCCGGCAAATCCGGCTGGAATTCCGGCCGGAATTTTTGTCCAAATCCGGTAAATCCGGTTCCGGCCGGATTTGAAAATTCCAAATCCGGGCACCCCTACTCTCCAGGGAAATTAGAAGTAACCCCCCTTCTCCGTCTGGTCATCCTAGTACATTTTGCTATTGTCAGAACTAGATTTTGAGGCCTACCCCTTGAAAGCCTACCCCATGAGCCCCTCCTAAAAGGAGCGGGGAGCACCATCACTAAAGGGAGCACCATTACTAAAGGGAGCACCATTACTAAAAGGAGCACCATTACCCACAACTGTATAGCTCAGAAAAGTGTTTTAAATACAATATTACAATAATACAATAAAGTGTTTTAGGCCCGGTTTAGACGGCGAACTTTTCATGCGCCGAATCTAATGCAAAGATTAAGTGCGACGTTGGAGCGGCGTCTAAATCAATTAAGTTCGGCAGGTTTTGATTAAGTTCGACACGACTCGAAGATGCGACAGGACAAGTCGTATATGCGACACAGGTTCGACATTGATTTAGACGCCATGCTTTTCATGCGCCGAACCTAATGCATAATTATTTTTTAACATCATAATATGATTATCATATATTTGCATTGTAAATATTTCCAATATAATGTGTTCGCAATTTAGTACGGTGCAATTAAGTTCGACGTCTAAATCAGTTTCCGATATTTTGCCGTATCTACGACAATTAGATTCGGCGCATGAGAATTTCGCCGTCTAAACCGGGCCTTAAATATTCAAGATTATTTGGGCATCTCGCTTAATAGGACTGAATGATGAAGAGTTTTGGTAGCTGTAAATTTTAAGCAGAAATATTGTAGACCTTATAGATATGTAGAATTTGCAGGCCAAAATAGCTTTGATTCTTGCCCGAGAGCCTATGGTTCTATTTGTCGTAACTGCTCCTGGTCATTTTCAAAATATTTATATAAATTTGTCTCGAAATTTTTATCTTCCTTCAACATGTATAATTCTGTGTCCAGGTATTCACAGCTTAGCCAACGCATGTCTAGAGGGTAATGTCAATGCTGTAAGAAAACTTTTGGAACAAGGCTGGAGTGTCCATGATTCTACCGATGAAGGCGAAAGTCTTTTGTCATTGGCTTGTTCTGCAGGTGAGACTTTCTGGAAAGTTACTTCAGCTTTTTGGTCAGTGTTGGCTGTTGTATTGACGTTTAATACTGTTGATTATTTGTCTTGTTGGATGGAATATGGATGGAAAAAACACTGTTTTTAACCTATTAAGCTGCAATGTGCTCAAATGCACCCTTACTTTAATATTTTACTCTGAACTGTTACACAGTGCAGGAAATTTTCTTCTTGGGAGCACAACCTGGACACAAAAATTTCCTGCAGGAGTGTTTTTGTACTAAATCTGCATGTGCATAAACATACAGTGTTCTATCTGACCATGGTTTTAAATTCAAGGAATAATTTCTGTCAACCATATGTTGTTGCAACCATAGTGGGACATGGGTGTTAAGGTTTCCTTCAAATTTTCGCCTATTTTTCCCGTCCCTGCTGTTATATTGTGTAGATTGTTGCTGTATTGTGCACACTTTCTATATTTAAGGTTATTGTGAGCTTGCTCAAGTATTGTTGGCTATGAATGCCAAGGTGGATGATCGAGGCAGCAAGGGAGATTGTACTCCTCTCATGGAGGCATCAAGTGGTGGATTTCTTGACATCGTACATCTACTTCTTGACCATGGGGCTGACGTGAATGCCCAATCACAAGCTGGTATGTATATAATACATGTAGAGAAAGCTTCGGATTGATAGGGATACAACTACGTGGAAAATACAAGGAGAGCGTCAACGTTTTGAGTGAAAGCCCTTCCTCTGTTCGTCGGCAAGTTACAGTAGGGTATTTTTGTCATGACTGGTTTTCTCATGAAATTTTCATGGCCGGCTCTTGGACAAAACTAATTTATATTACAGTACATGTACATTAGTTCTTTATAGTATACTGTATTTTGTTTGTGGAAACACCACGTAAATTTATTACTGCAAAACTTTCGATCCGTAAGCACTGATTATTAGCACTATCAAGATCAGGGCTTACGGATCGAAAGCTTTGTAGTAATAAATTTACGTGGTGTTTCCACAAACGAAAAGTATTATACATGTACATTGTGCACTGAAGCTAGCTATTGCATACAGTATGTGTCTTTCACTTTTCATCAATATAATTGTGGCAGTTGATACTGCCGTTAAAGCCCATTTCCGCTCAGGAGAATTTTCCGCAGAAAGAAAATTTTGCAAAATGTGATTGGTCGACACAAATTTTCCGTTGGAAAAAAATTTTGAAGTTGAAAATTTTCAACTTTTAACAATGATATTTTCGGAAAATTTTCTGTCCGTGGAAATTTTTCTTGAGTGGAAATGGGCCTTAACTGTACTGGACAAAAGAATGCATTTCTCCGGGCATTTGTCCATTTTGTGTCAGACGGTGCCTGTGTCCAGTCACTTATTTTTAGGCTTGGGAAGTTTTAAATACACAGATAGCGAGCGTGCTATACTTTGCCCAGCAAAATAAGTACAGTACAGTAGCTTACTATTGGTGTACGTACCTCCGGTATGTATGAGCAGCCTTGGCGTGATGCTGCCTCTAAATTTTCCAGGCAACACCGCCTTGATATATGCATGTTGCGGAGGTTATGAGGATGTTGTAAAAGTGTTGCTAGACCATGACGCTGAGATCGAGTCCCATAATGAGAACGGACATACGCCGCTCATGGAAGCCGCAAGTGGAGGTCATGTCAATGTCGCAAAGTTGTTGCTGGAGAGAGGAGCGTGTATTAATTCTCATTCCAATGAGTTTAAAGAGAGTGCCCTAACATTGGCTTGTTATAAAGGTAGGTTGGGATATGTGCAGACATTGGTTTTCATTGGTTAACCGTAGTATGGATGGTGGAAATGCCACGAAGACGCATGACGATGACAAACAGTAGGGGCAACACCCTCCCACTCATATTTTTGTTCATTGTTTATTATATCTGACCAAGTAACTAGTAGTTGTAGCAAGTAAACATGTATAAAATTTTACACAAGGGAGTTTGGAGTGCAAAATTAGCAAAATGTTGGTAATACGTTTGCGACCTAAATTCTAGACTTGGTGCAAGTTTGTCTCAGGAGAAAAGTAGGGGAGACGGACTTGGAACATTTGCAGCATTTCGAATGTTACTTGGAAAAATTGGCGCGAAAATTTGTTGTTGTCAACTCACAAGCCACGCCTCCGTAGGAAAAATCCGACGATAAATTTTGGCGCGCTTGCAAATGTCCCAACTCCGTCTCTCCCTACTTTTCTCTCATATTTTCGCGCCTTTTTTCACCGTGCGCGCATTGCTATTTTTAACCCTTTGAGAAACGGACTTGAACCATGTCTACCTATATTCACACCCTGACACTTGTATGTGTGTTTGCCACGCGACGGTGAACGCTGTTGCTAAGCTATAACAAGTCGTTGAATCTTTCCATAGGTCATGTTGATATGGTGAAGTTTCTTCTTGATGCTGGTGCTGATCAGGAACACAAGACTGATGAAATGCATACAGCTTTAATGGAAGCTTCTATGGTACAGTATGATATATCCTGTAGTCATATTATAGAGTTGTCACAAATATTAACTTGTCGTTGTTTAATAATATACCCTTCCGGATAGTATCATCTACATATAAACCTTTCAACTGAAATATTTTTTGTACAGCTAGTAAATTAAGATTATGAATGAGTTACCTACTTTTCACATGTGTATGATATCCTACTCAACTACATACAGTAACTTTACATTCTATGTGATTTTATAATTTAGGACGGACATGTTGAAGTTGCTCGTCTCCTGCTGGATCACGGAGCTGAGGTTAGCTATGTAACTGGAACTCTTTCATACACTTCTACTCCATTAACCATACAGCTAAACGTGGTTTATAACTTAAATGATCAAAGAAACTTTATTATAAATGCCCTTCCGTCTTTTTGACCCTTTCTACCTTCTTTGCCTTCCTTCTGTCCTTTCT